CTCAAATAGTGTTCCCATTTGTTCCCGTAATTGCGTCCACTGTTTCAGATATCATAAATATGGGATATTGTCAATATTGTAATAATAACAAATAGTTTGTTCATTTCAGGTAATTTAAGTAAAGGTGTGAAAGACGTGTTTGTATTCGGAAGTTATGATTAACCTCATGCCATTTGTCGAATATAGAAATACACCTCTCCATACATTGAGGTCCACGATATTCTAGATCTCAAAAGATGTCACCAATCTGTGGGATGGTGTTCTCACATACGGAAATTATATGCATAAATAGTAGCAAAGTATTTAGGGGGTAGGAACTGTATTGCAGGGTGTTACCCTATGTGTGTTTCTCTATGTGAAGCCTATGGGTCGACGCCTGGTGACAATGTCATGTATTGTCGAGATTCAACCAGCACCATCTACCGTCCCGGTGTTGATTATGCATAACACGAGCGTCAAAGCAGCATGTTTCAAATGTGCGACAATACATGCCAACCATTAAGGGACATCATTATCGAGTGTTTTGTTTCAAATAACAGCGCGCCACCACCTCAGCTGAGTCGAAGAATTTACGCAGGGTAGAAAAACTTTTAACTAACAAGCTGGTTTCTGATTGATTTGGCAGTTATGTGTTATGTTTAGATAGCTTTGTTCAATTCAATAATTAGTGGCGATACATTTCACGTGTCAAAATACAACAAGCAATTGCAGTGTATACACACAATAGTATTTGGGGCGTATTAATATAGCTAGATTATGTTTCAACACTAGATGGCGCTGTTGGTGTAAACGAATTATATATCGGGTATAGCCCACAGTGATTGTTTTTCATGAGAACAATTTATGGAAACTGGGGAATAAACATTTCATTAAAAAGCGAGGATTTAGAAAAAAAAATGAAAATATGAAAAACACAGAAGCGGTGTTGATCCCCCCTCCTCTCAACCCGAACTATTTTAAGGAAGTTGACGAAGGCCATCTATAACTATAGAGGGCGTTAACATTAATGTGTGTAATTGATTTTGATGAATTGTATTAGAAAAAGTAGTTCCCGCTGTGATCCACGAGTTGTCTCTTATATCTATAGTAAGGAATAGATTCCAAATATATGTGTCAACTTCCGCAGTATTTATATAACATTCATGAAAAAAGTTCGGGTTCGAAACGTGAAATGAGTTTTATCTCGTCATTTCGATATTGACCGAGGTCAAATTACAGACTTTGTTCAAAACAGTTTTTTAATGGTTCTTGGTTACGGAACATGGGTACTAATGGCATTCACTTCGGCGTTCATACTTAAATTAAGCACACTTACACGAATTCATTGACACTCTTTATACCCCCTTCCAAAAGACTTACTTGATGTTGGGTAATATGAATTCGCTGTTGATCACACAATTGCGCTATTAAAGAGTGGTGGTCGTCTTGTCGTGATGTGTTCGATATGGGACTTACGTACACATCGCGTGTAAAATGCATTGTTTGTTTACATGAAATTCGAACACCGCCCTTTAATGATCGAATCGACCTGATAGTAAATAATGAAGCCCGTAACATAACAACCCCCCTTCCCCAAAAAATAACAATCGTTTTGCAGTAAGTGAGAATATAAGCTTGTTTTATTGCACTATCTATCGGAATATATAAATGCTTTACGTCATTTGAAATGTCTGACACGTGATTTCACACACTGAAAATGGAAGACGAATCACTGTTACGGTGGTAGTTGTAGTTCCAACTGCAGATGAAAACCACTAACGGCAGACATTGCATTCATGGTAGTTTACACAGACTGAAATGACACAAGCAATACACAATGGTTATAAGACTGCAAGATAATGATGACGCCACGTACAATCATTCATGTACTGCGTTTCGAATTTGGATAAAGATTAGAAGACTGTGTTCATTAGTAACACTGACTTCAATATTATATACGACAACTCAAATTGTATAGGGGTGAAAATGTGTGCAATGAAATCTTGAAAGAAGACCACGTGTTTAAAACTGTTAATGGATTACCACAATGCTGTTATTTTACTCTCCAAAGCAGAACATAGTGTATTTAGTTGATATTTAAGGCGATCGAAAATAAATACTTTG